TGGAGCACTGGGTGTTGTGCACGAACAATGAATCATGGAACACTTCATCTAGAACTAATGATGTAATGTATGGGGATTAACATAAGAATAAAAAAAAAATTAAAAAAAAAAAGGAAAAAAAAAAGTTATGTACAAATAACTTCTCTCTACTTCATTAAGGTCCTTTTCTGGAATTTTATCTTGTTCTCTTGTTTGGAACATATCCCTCTGTTACTTCAATTGTTTTGACTCTCTGTGTTGATTTCTAAGCATTAGATAAAACAGTCACCTCTCCCAGTCTTGATGCAGTGGTTTCATATAGGAGATAAGCATTATGATTCAGCCTGGTCTGAGCTTTTGTTGTCTCTCAAACCTTAGTGATTGTCCAAGCTGCCTTCTTTGTTCTTAATGGCTCCCAGTAGTTGAAGGTATGCCAAAACCTGTTTTTATGTGGTTTTGTTTTCATTTTTGTTTTTTTTTCTCATTGACCAATATGTAGGAGTCATTCAGCTAGTTTCTGGATTTTTTTCAGAGGGAATTGCTCCACATGTAGCTGTAGATTCAGTGTGTCCATGGGACGAGGTGAGTTCAGGAGCCTCCTATGTTGCCATCCTGGCCTGGAACATTAAAAGTGAATACATAATAGTATATTTACCACATAATTATAATGAAGACTTAAAAAGACTGGTATATTTAAATTATAATCCTAAGGTTATTAAGGTAATACTTTTTCTTAATGGTTTTGCTACATCCATCATTGAACTTCTCTTTTCTTAAAAATATTCTCTACATACTTTAAAGGATTCTGAAAGTTAGATTTCTCTGTAAGACTTCTTCAACAACATCTCTGCTTATATTTTGTGAAATTACTGTAATTTTTGAGAATCTTTTATTAAAGCTTCTGTGTTCTCTTTGGTAACTACTTGTCTCTCTAACCTGCTGCACTGTTCACTTGAGCAAAACCACTGTATTTTCAAGACATCTAACTAAGGAAGCATTTTATTAATGTTTTTGGATAGAATATAAGCAGAGAGGCAAAAGGAATTTATGTTGATAAAAATTTGTCAAAAGTTGAAAAACAGTAAAACATCACTTATCAAGGACCATTCAGATATAGGCCTTTCAGTTAAAAATTAATGTTGCTTCTTGAATTTACCAAATCTTTTATTGAACTCTGCAATTTAGATTTGAGTTGGGGTGTTTTATTTTTATAGAAATATTTTTGTTTAATTTTCTGCATTTAATACATAAAATATCAAAGTGCAACTATAGAAATATGAAATCAAAATGTCCAGATTTAAATAATTAGAAATCATGTAAATGAACTTTATATTCATTATGTCCAAACTAGAATACATGTAACCACTGTAAAATAAGCAAAAAACTGTTATACTTTCTGAGTCTTTTTATTTTCTATCATTCTATTTTATCATAAACTTTAATATTTCTGTGCTACTTTGTTGTATACAAAGTATACAACAGCAACCACAATGACATCAACCAGAGCAACAGTAATTCTTGAAAATTTACTATGTGCTTGAAGTGGCTTCTTTACATATAAAATTTCATTTCTCACAGTATTGTCATAACTGTGCATTACTTTCACTTTACCTAAGATAGATACTGAGGCATATAACATGTATTTAGGAAGTGTTTTGAGTATTAGAATTCAATAGTATGAAGCTGTATTTTACAAAATTAAATAAGTATTGTGTTGTGCTACTTTATTAAGATGGATATAATTATAATTTCTTTCCACTGATCCTTTACTACAAGGTTTTAGAGTGTACTCAGTCACCAAAAATCAAATGGTACTAAGGATCCAACTACTTAACTCTTAAGACAATTTCATCTACAGAATGAAACTATAACTGAATCTTTAAAAATAGTCACTTATACCAATTAATAGAATTTAGAGTTCCACAACTACTCTTTTAGCTATATCTTTACGAGGCGTAACAATTCCATGTGGAGATCCTTAAGCATATGGCTGTGCCCTATAATATATAGTGCTGAAATTTTTTTCATGGGCTATGTTTACATTCTCTCTTTTAAGCTTAAAAAGAAATAATTAAAACCAAATGCCCTGAGCACTCTACTGTACCCTGCTGTACTCTCCTATACTCTAGCATTATGATAAATTTTGATGCAAGCCATGATCTTGAACATATGCCTGTCCACGAAGGAAATTTCATAAATCATCTTTTAGGATCTGAGACTGACCACATCTTAAAACTGATATGGCTGCACTGACCACTTTAGAAATTCAGTATCTGTGTGTGTTTTTATGAGAAGTTTAACAAGTGGTAAATTACAGCTCTGAGTGATTCAATCATGGAGAGTGAAATCAAATCTTTAAGAAACTATTTTTATTTTTTACTGATAAATTCCATGAAATAACCCTTTAATTATGGCCAGCTATTTTTAAATCCTCATTTTGTAATTTCCAAACTGTCCTTCGCACACTAAAATATAGGCTAGACTAATTGAATAAAGAGTGGCTAAGAACTTTTCTGCATCTTCTACCCTTTATTTGTATCTGTCTAATGTCTTACTGTAGGATCAGTCCTGGTGAATCCCTAAAGCCTACTGTCTAAGAAATCAACTGTTTCTACGCAGACTTAGTTGAAACCAGGTCATGTACTAGATGATGTTCTGTATTCACCCAGTTATATTCAATGTGTATCATAAATTAATCTCTACTCATAGTGGAAGCAATGGACCAAGAAACTGGTGACAGAAAAACTCCACAAGTGGGGCCAGAGAAAGCCAGTATCTTATTTAACTCTGTCCCCTTGACAACAGCAGGAAACTTAGACACGTACAATTAATTTCTTTTTGTTTCATTTTTGTTTTGAGGTACATCTTCAGATGTGGTCAGTCTCAGATCCCAAAAGATGATTTATGACATTTCCTTACCACTTACCGTGGTAAAAAAGTAGAAAGAGGGAGGCAAATAGTAGGGAAGGAGAGAGAGAAAAGAGGGTAAATACAAGGAAGGAAGGGATGAAGAAAAGGAGAGAGGAAATTCCTTTGGAACCATCATATAACCTGAGAATGATGTTTTACCATTGTACCAAAATATACAAGGTAGATGACAGAAGGATTCCATAATCCGGTGTTACTGGTTATTGAATGTTTGTACTGTGTTGATGCTGACTACAGGGATTGTTTTTGAAGAGTAAAATGGGAAGGGAACAGAATCTACAAGAGAGCTGACTCTTAAAATTCAGAAATTTTGAAAGAGTTGAAAATGGTACTTCAATCGGTGAATGGAAACAATCTTAATTTAAAGAAATAACTATCTTCATTTAAGAAGAAGAATTCTGCTTTTTTAAAGTACTTTTATTTTTAAATATCCTTGGCATTGGTAAAAATATATATATATGGTGCTATATATTTATATTTATATATATTTGCTAATTTTTAGCTGATTAAAAAAATATAAACTTAAAACATCAACAGTTCATTTCTATCTCAATTAGTTTTCACATAATAATCATTCTCCATCTTTTTCTGCATGTGGTTATTTACAGAAAAATCTGTTCTATGAAATAAAAAAGTTTACTAAGTTGTTCATCAGTCAAGAATAATTTTATTGGGCTTCGCAGTAGGTGCCACGCAAATGCACAGACAATGTTAGTTGATCAGTTAAGGCTAAAAAGTGTATCGTAATTCACAAGTTTTGATCGTGTTTTCATTTTATCATTTGCAATCACATGCTTGGATTGTGTCTTCTCAACTTACGATAGCCATTACTGCCTTTTTAAGTGAAATGCTCCTCAATTTCATAAGTGAACTATAGGCTCTGGAGTTTCTTATAGTGGGAACATCTTCATACAATATTTTTACAAAGTATCTGGTCAAAAATGGACAAAGATATTTGTATCATAGCTTGGTGATATGGCTGAATCAAAGAATTATTTTTTTGTATCAGGTGATTCATCATAGAGTTTACCAAAATCTCAAAATGTGCTATTTCATATCAACTATTACTGAATTCAGAATAATATCCTTCTGTTATTAGTGTCCAGTCCCAGCATTCATGTTGTAGATAGCTTCTGGACACCAGAGCCCACTTTTTTTTTTTTTTTTTTTTTTACCAGAGCCAACTCTTGGTGCACCTTATAACTTCTGATGACTGTTGTCCCTTTAAATTATGACTAATAATTTGCTAATTTTCCAATACAGGTAATGGATTAGGAATTAGAATTGTGGGTGGTAAAGAAATCCCTGGACATAATGGAGAAATTGGAGCCTATATTGCCAAAATTCTTCCTGGAGGAAGTGCAGAACAGACAGGGAAACTTATAGAAGGTAAGAATAAGGATTTCATAGTAAATTAAAATGAATGTACTCCTATTAAATATATTTTAATTTCATATGCAGGTTTCCTCTTTATTTACTGTCTAGGTAAACCTCTCTCCTTATAGTTGATTATGAAATTTTGGTATAGTAATATAAAAGAAAATGTGTTCACAATTATATTCATTTTATTTTCAATTGCATTGTCCTTTTGGCTGTTGATTTGCTATGGGATTATGTTGTTTAAGAAACACTAATTAGTCAATATTGTTTACTGACTTGGGCAATATTATTAAAAAAAACTTTCATCATTGGGATTAATTTTTTATAAATACTAAAAAAAATTATATTGAAATCAGAACTGTAAAATACCAGATGATTCAGTACACACTAAAGTCAGGTCAGCAAACCGTGAACAGTCCACAGGCCAAATCTATCTGCTGCTTGTTTCTGTAAACAGTGTTTTATTGGAACACAGTGAGGATCATCGATTTACATGTTGAACATGGGTATTTTCCCACTACAATAACAGAACTGTATTCATGACAGAGACTAACTAGTCTATAAAGACTAAAATATGTACTCTGTGGTTCTTTACAGAAAAAAATTTGCCAACTCCTGTGCTAGGTTACTGTCTACTTCTAGATACTATATACCTTATTACATCAAAACCATTTTAAAATAATGGACTTTAGAGATGTACCTAAAGGGCCATAAAAATATATTTTATCACTTTCTTTCAAATGTTATAAGATGCTTGATTCTCAAAATGCATAATGATTATTTTCACTTGTTAATTAAATGTCATTCGCATTTTCCAAACTCTAACATATAGTTTACAAGTTTTCAATGATATTGCTTATGATGAATATTTTTTATCATAAAATAGCCTCAACCTATCATTTTATTTTATTTAAAATACTTAGTTGGAAGGTGTTTTTCTGTCATTTCATAGTTTTATAAAATGCTGCCCATTGCTTAACATTTTAATTATGGTAAATTATTCACTGTCATTTTCTTAAATGTATTGGAACCTACCAAAAAAGTCCCTGTATATTTTGATAGCCTATTAGAGTAAATAAACTTGAGGCATTATTGATTCATCACAGCATTCTACTGGAGCCCACTTGTACCAACTCACTTAGATAGGCTCTTCCCAACTTCACATTGAATGGTGTCACTTTGATGGCTTGAATTGGTCATGGTGGGAGTTTTTACAAAGTGGAAATAGATAAATGTGATAAATTAGGCCTATTTTGTTTGTTTATTTCCTTGTTGGTTTTCAGAATGCCAGTTTACCAGGACATTACCTAATATGTAACCGAAAGGATATTATTAAAAATATTCTAATGTCATGCATAAAACAGGGAAATGTAGGAGAATTAACCAGATATCTAAAAGAAGATAAAGACAATGAACCAAGATATAACAATTATGAACAGAACACTGAGTCTGTATGGAGTTTCTATGACTATAATCCTATCACTCCTAATGCTAATCCTTAGGCGTTGCAGTCTACTTAAGCTATAGAAATTGAGACATTTTTTTAAAATAGAGACCATTTTTAAGAATGGGAGTGATATGATCATTTTCATACAGCATACTCCAGAAGGAAATGCATATACTATTTTTATTTTAAAACAAAAAATTGCAGCAACTGTTTGTGTTATGGTTTTGCAAAGATACTTGAAGAAAGAAACCCTCCTCTGTATTTACACCATGGAAATTGGGAAATACTACAAATCAGGATGATTTGAAAAACAGTTTCAATGAAGCATACTGTTATGAAATGATACTCTTTGTACTTGATAGCCTATGTAGCCATTTTTAAGTTCATAAATTTAAATTAAAAAAAATAGGTATAATACATATTAATTCAAGAGAGAAAATTGAAATGAACCTAAAATTTTACATGCTCCATTTCTCATCATTTTTGGAAGAAGTATTTTTACAGTCCACCTATTTGGTTAGAGCGGGAAATCATTAAAAGCTATATGCATATTATTTAAGATTTTATTTTAATTATTTATTTAGTGATTCTCCCAAAGATTTGCCAAAGTGTCAAACCAGGCCTTTCCGTGAACACAGATCCTCTGGTTGGAGTCCAGTTCTTATAAAATGCACACCCATTATTTGTTATTTATGTTTTCTATCTTTGCTTTATTTACTCTTGCAACATAGGTCTTTAATAAAACACTTGGTAGTATTTCTTTCTGTTAGCTTCATGATGATGTCTTGGTTCAATATTTAGATCCTGTTTTTGAAACATTAAATATTTTAAGGAGTTACTTTAACATACAAACCATCCAAAAGGCTATTCCTTGTCTTATGCCACCAGGCTAAAATGATAAAAGTTCATTCCCTTTATATGCAAAGATGAACTGACTAGAAGGCCATCAGTCCAAATGGGAATCCACAAGGACTCACCTTGTTTGACCTGTATATTTTCAGGATATATATGTTTATGTATATGTATTTATATTTACATAGTTTTTGTTTTGTCTGTAACTATGTGCTTTATTCATACATAGTATCCTTAGAGCCCTCACCTTCAATCTTTGATAGATTATCATAAAATTTCAGAGCAGTAGATTGGTTAAAACACAACTCTGATTTTTATGCCTTAGGTAAGGCATCACTATGACAATATCAAGTGTATATCACTGGAGTCTTGTGGTTTTTTAGTAATTAAAATTTTGCATGACCATAATAAAATTTTATTTATTGAAGGCAATAAAGATGGCTAATTCACCATTAGTTTAAAATTAATTCTTTTCTAAGGGAAAATTGTATGTATATGAATAAATAGATAAAATATGTGTTTGTGTGTATGTAACTGTATATCTCCATCTGTAGAATGAATTCCAGGTAGACTTAGGAATTGATTTGATGTCCTCCAAGTGTATCTTTCTGCATTTCTGAATACAAAAGTATGTACACTGAGCCTTTATGATTTAAAATTGTTGATTGAAAACATGAATGACATTTGGTTGATCATAGAATTCTTAGACTGTATTTTTTTTCCCCACTCCATACAGTGAAGCTCTTGCTAAAAAAAAAAAAAAAGGCCGACTTTACTGTTTTTTCTAAGTTTGGTTATTTCTCCTACAGTAGGCTTTTCAGACTCATCAGTGTCTCACATGCTTACGCTCTTGTAGCACTCAGTGCCATGGATTCTGATTGTGTTGACTTTTGGAAGAGCAAGAGTATTTCCAGGTTTCCTCTAGCTTTTTATTCTCTGGATTTGTGCATTTAAAACATACTGACCAATCATGTAGGTTTTCCAGTGCTCATAAGCCAAGTGCTATTCTGAAAGTACTGACTTATGTAACGAAGGGAAAAAAGCCCCCCTATACTTCCTGAAGATTTTTATTCATTGTTTTTTGAAAAATCTTTCTGAACAAGGTTGTCTATATTGTTAAAGAATGTAGGAAAATGATGTGTTTCTGAATGCTGATAGTTAGCAATAATTAGTATTTCAGAATCATTAGGCTATTCTCAAGAAATTTGTTTTTAAACACTCATAATAGAGGCTTGTGCTATCCTCTGAAACTAAAAAAGCCACTAGGGAGCATTGTGTTAATCAAAATTTCCTGAGCCAATCTTTTAGTTTTGTAAAATTCTGTAATGATTTTCTGAAAAAACGTATATAGTCAGATACTTGAGGGAAACTAATCTTCCAAAATCTTAAAACTTATTTCTCTGCAACATTACTAAACATTCTTAAGCAAATACCAGACCAAGAATGATTTTTTGCAACCTGTCATTCTTCCTTTTAATGCATAAGGTCAGTTTTCTGTTGGAAAAAAAAAAAAAAGAAGAAGAAGAAGATGACAAAACATCTGGGGAACTAAGCTACAAATCTAAGTTTCTAAAGTGCTATTTCTTGCTATTTGCTTTAGGATTAAAATTTTCAACAATTTCAGATCAACAGTGTTGGGGCTGTGTAATCCTCATCAGTATTGAGGCTTTAAGTGGTGTATGATATTATCTCATTTTCTCCTTTGATATTGTTATTTCTCTTTGAACTAATGGGAGCATCTAAAAGTACACTTGAATGTATGGACTTTGAATGTATATTTCAAACTTGTCACTTCCATTTTAAATATTTATTTTTAGAAAAATGATTATAAACCTTATTCATAGTACAATTTTAATACCAGGTTCAGTATAATCATCACCTTAACCAATGACCTCAAAAAATTAGATGCTTCCTCTGTAATAAACTCTCTTTTCTCTGTTTTACCTAGTGAACCTATTCGATATGATGACAATTTTTGAATTCATGACATGCTTTATTGTTCTCAGATCAAAGTACCAACCATCTCCAAATTTGGAGAGTCCATAATATAATTATCCATACCTCATGACAAGCAAAGACTTTGTTTTGTTTTGTTTAATCTGATAAAGACCAGGGTCAGTTCTTTATGTTCCAGCCATTTGTGCACGTCACGTGTGCGTGGATCTTTCGTGTCCCTTAACAATAAGGTTTTTTTTCCTGCATACCCGGGGCCCAGCAGTGTCAAATAAAACAAGATTTCAAATAATATATATAGAAATGAGTATTAAATAATTTTTTATTGCAAATGTTATATACTTATTAAGATGTTACTCCTCTCAGTATTTTGTGAAGCAAATAATAAGACAGGTAGTCACACTCTACTATTTGTAAAGAACCATGTACATTTAGGACAGCATCTCTATTTGGTTAATTACCATTTTTTATTACCTTTTCAGGAAAAAAACGTACAAAATAGAAACCATTTCCTCTGGGCACACATTCTTATAACTTTGAGCTTAACTACTCAAAACTTTACTGTAGGGTTTTTGTTTTTTGGGTTTTTTTGGTTTTTCTTTGCTTAGAATTTAAATTAAGATCTCTGGAGTGGGGGTATGGTATTGGATAGTTACTGATACAGAAAAAACAAACAAACAAAAACAATGATACCTGGAAAATGCAATGCAGTTTTGTGCAGTGGCAGAGTGTGAGGAGTAGATTTTCTCCTGGCAGT